GTGTTTTATAATAAGTAAGATATATATATATATATATATATATAATATTTTTTGTTTAAAAATATGATTCTTCGCTACATAAGAGTTCTCATGTTTCAAAAACGAGAGCCGAAATCATCCAAATAATTATTAAAATTAAGTTGAATTGAGGTGTTTAGTCTCGTTTCATCTTCAAGCGAAATTTTAGGAATAAGCTATCTTTTGGTGTACGTGTGTTTTTAGGCATGGTCCGTCATAACATTCGTTTTTGTGGGGGTGGCTAGGCTAGTTTTCTTCGTTAAGTGGTCAGAGAGTTAATTCTTATCAATAGATTCATCATCTTCTGAGAGGTTTTGCTAAGGTTGGGTAGGGTATCTATTTTAAGGCTAATGTTGGCGGTCACCATTTAGTTGGTTCCCAGTGAGGAATATTTTTATGGCGCGCCTAGAAGTCGTTATGTGTCGGGAGGATTGTGCTTTATTATTGTCCATCTGATTATCTCTTTATTTATTTGTTTATTCAAGTGGGTGTTTTATATACAAACCGTATTGCACTGAATTTCAATTTTTTTTTTTGTTTTTTGACGACTACAGATAGGGTTTTTTTCTATTTAATGATTTGGCTAAGCTTTTAAGACATTTATTAAGCTATGGGATTTTTTTATGTTAATTATTTAATGCGAAAGTTTGTTGATGTCGGCAAAAAACCGTTAAATCCTGCCTATGGTATAATAATTTTTCATTATTTAGAAATTTAATGTGTAGTTTTTCGTGTAGGCATAAAGGGCATGGGTCATCCCAGGTTTTACAAGTTCTTGTTTTATTTACTATTTTCCATTTTAGTAAATAAAACAAGAACTTGGATGATTTCGGCTCTTGTTTGTGAAACATGAGAACTCTTATGTAGCGAAGGAATCATATTTTTAAACAAAAAATATTATTATAATAAACCTCTACTTATGTATGGAGCACTGTCTTCTTAAAAATAAAACCAAAAATTACTAAGGAACTCCGGATTATGCACCCAACGTGTTCTTTTCTATTTCTCTGCATACCTGCACTTATATATATATATATATATATATATATATATATATATATATATATATATATATATATATATATATATATATATATAAGTTTAGGATGGTGTATACGGAATAAATTCCAATAACCAATAAATACTATTCTTAAAAGAGTGCTCAATACAGAGCAGACCAAATATAATTATTTATTCGAAAATATAACATAAATATGTTATAAAATCACTACAAAATAGCCATTTTGTTATCAAGTGATGATGTTAAACAACATCATCACTTGATAAGACGCCGGAGGTGTTGAAACAAATGGCTATTTTGTAGTGATTTTATAACATATTTATGTTATAATTTTCGAATAAATAATTATATATATATATATATATATATTAATTTTTTTATTTCTGGGTCTCATGGGAGCAACGCTATATTGTATTTGCTCACATATATGGTTGATTGTATCTCCTTATTTAGATCATTTCTCTCTCTCTCTCTTGATATATATACGTAACTTTCGTTGAAAACGACTGAAAAAGTGTGGTGGCTGAGTTTTATATATAATTTCTCATGTGTCCATATAATTTTTTTTCTTTTCAGGACATACATTATATAAAAATTATCCGAATGTTTTCGAAGCCCTTTCGGCTATACGTTTAGCCATTATCAAGGATGAATTTTATTTTACTTTTAACTGAATATATGCATTGTTTCATGTATCTATCTCGAGTTATATGAATTTTTTATTTTACAAACAAGGTCAGCACATTGTGGCCGTGTTCATAATTGATATTATATTATACCTAAAACAATACATATATTCCATTAATATCTATCTCTGTCTGTTCTTATCAATCTATCGATCGATCGAATCGATTTGATTGAATTATCGATCTATGTTTCTACGCAAGTTCATTTATAAATCTACAGCCTGATGAAAAATATCAATAATTTTTATTTAAATTCTATTATATTTTGTTGTATTCGATGCCTTTTGATTTTTTGTCAATCTGTTTAATATAGAGATAACGTTTTGGTCACTTTCATGAGTTCATTATCTTGGCTAATATCTATCAATCTCACTTTGTTCCTCTCTATCTATCAATCTCACTTTGTTCCTCTCTATCTATCAATCTCACTTTGTTCCTCTCTATCTATCAATCTCACTTTGTTCCTATCTATCTATCTATCTATCTATCTATCTATCTATCTATCTATCTCACTTTGTTCCTATCTATCTATCTATCTATCTATCTCACTTTGTTCCCCATCTTCTATCTCACTTTGTTCCTATCCATCTCTCACTTTGTTCCTATCTATCTATCTATCATCTATTCTATCTATCTATCTCATCTGTCTCATCTTTATCTATTTTGTTCTATTCCTATCTATCTATCTCAATTTGTTCCTATCTATCTATTTCTATCTATCTATCTCACTTTTGTTCTATCTATCTATCTCACTTTGTTCCTTCTATCTATCTATCTATCTATCTATCTATCTCCTTTTCTATCTATCTATCTACCTCACTTTGTTCCTATCCAATTTGTATTCATCTATCTATCTCACTTTGTTCCTATCTATCTATCTCTAATTTTTGTTTCTATCTATCTATCTATCTATCTATCTCACTTTGTTTCTATCTATCTATCTATCTATCTATCTCACTTTGTTCCTATCTATCTATCTATCTATCTCACTTTGTTCCTATCTATCTATTTCAGTCTGTTCCTGTCTATCTTAGTCTGTTACTATCTATCTATTTATCTCAGATTGATAGACAGATCTAAACTATGCGAGGATGATATTTTAAAATGCCGCATGTTTATATTTATGCCAAATTCAAATACATTTTCTATTTATCAACTAGTTTCTTAATGCGTAAAAAATCAATTATCATTTCGGTTCTTATATTATTAAAATGTTATCATAGGTGAGTTTTCAAATCTATAAATAATTGTAGATAAAATAGAAATAAAAGTAGCAGCGGAATAATGTATTCGGACATAATTAAAAATTAATGGCAAAAATACAATTTCAAAAGGAATGTAGGTCGAGATCTTTGTGTGAGAAACATTTGGAATTTTTCAGCGATTCTTCACTCGATTATGGTTCCGTCACTGTCATCGTCCACTGAGTCATCATATTGCATGATACTGGGATGGTTAAAATAAAGGATTGACCAAGTAAACAAAAGAAGTACATAATTACGCCGCATAGAGAAGATGCTACTTATCCCTGAATCAACGATTATGGCTTGGTAAATGTTTGGTACTTCCAATGGCCATACCTGAACTAGTACTCTTACAATATATATATATATATATATATATATATATATATATATATGAAAAAACCTGCGGAGGGTCGTTTGGGGACCCTGTAGCACGTACTGCACCAGGTCTCTGTATTGGGCCCTTCCAAAAGTGTGGGTGGTCCTGCACGAAACCTTCACCACTATAATCAAATCTCATGTGCTGTTGTCGGGCTGTCGGTTTCCTTGGAACCGGTCTGCTTGACCCTCATACGTCGAATTCGACGGGAGAGTCGAATATATATATATTCGCGCTGTATGCGTAAACCGGTTGGGTAAATAGGTCTAGCGATTTCGTCCTGTAAAATTCTTATTTACTATGGAAGACAGAGTAGCAAGGCATAATATTTTTGAGAGCTCAGAATCCATCATCCTTAGTGGAATCATTTAATATATATATATATATATATATATATATATGTGTGTGTGTGTGTGTATATGTGTGTGTGTGTGTGTCTGTATGAACAAACGTAAATGTATTATTTTGATCATTTATCCATTCATGCAGTGTGATTTACACTTACATTACACTGTGTGATATATATATATATATATATATATATATATATATATATATATATATATATATATATATATATATATATATGTATGCATATATATATACATGTAACAGCATAATTATCCATCCCACAAAATGTTTAATATCTAAAAAAAGCACTAAACTAATTGCGTTTCTTTTTTTTCCAGGTTTTCAAATGAGACGTTTAGCCATCTTTGACGCCATTTTTCGTAAGAATCACCTAAAATCCCTTTGAGATATTCAGCCAGAAAGAGAACTGGTTAAAATTGTTTAGTGTCAGTCCCACTGTCTTTCCAACTGATCAATGGTGAGAGGAAAAGATCATTCAGGCCTTCAGTAATGGTACCAACATCCATACTCTGGCTTCCATCTTCAAAGTCCTTTCAATGACCATCAATGAAACGGTGAATACGTTTAATAAAGGGGGAGCAGCAGGGAGGAAAAGTGGATCAGGGAGAACGATCATCATTTCAACTTAGAGCTAAGTACATTCTTACTGTTCAAATTAGTGCCCAATAGTGTCATAAAAACCTCGGGAAATTCCAGTAAGATATCTTTAATCATTTCTAAGATACAACGGTTCAATGCTTACAGCGAAACAGTCGGTCTGTGGCTGACAATATATATATATATATATATATATATATATACGCCCCCGAAAAAATAAGAAAGCGCGAATTTGTAAACAGTGGCTGCTGCTGCTGATAATGCAATGCTCTTCTTTGAATCAAGCACTCTGAGTCACTGGCGTATTTATTCAAAATAAATACGTAAAAATACACCTTCTCTGCCGAGAGTCGATAGCTTAGGGAAAAATCTCCGACTGATGCCAAATCAATCGGGTTTCGATCCTGGCTTCCTCCACACATGATTTCGATAATTATGACCAAACAACTCTATTTTAGTTTCATCTGTCGATAGTACTTTTTCCCAGAACGAATATTCTTTATCCTTATGCTCTCTAACGAATTTTAGCCTAGCATCTCTGTGCCGTTTCAAGAGGAGTGGAGTGCGTGATTTCAGACTGTTTTTGTGTAGTTCATTACTTATTGTACGCTTGGTTACTTTAATCCCTAATGCACGCAGACGTTCCTGCAGCTCTTCTCGGGTAACCTGTGGATTTTGTTGGA